AAACAATACTAAGGACAAAGTTTCTTACTTCCAGAAAAAGATTGAGGATTGGCAGGTTGTTTCAGATGTCAACTATCTGGCTTGGTCAAAGTTGCTTGCAGCTCAGGTATCCGAAATGGAGAATGATCATGGAGGGGCGTTGAGACATTACGAAGAAGCTTTGGATCATGCTTCTTCACACGACTTTGTCTTCGAGGAGGCTTTAGGGAATTTTCTCCTTGCAGGCTTTCTCTTACGCGCCGGTTCGCGAAGGCCAGCAAAGGCGGCTTTGCAAGAAACAATCATGTTGTACCGACAATTTGGAGCAGGAGGAATTGCCAGACATATTGAGATGGTACATAGCCTTCTTCTGCAAGGACCCACCCACAACCTTCGATATATCGAAACTAGCACGCAAACAGATTTTGCTGGCGATTCTGCACCTACGCCATACCGTACTCTAGAAGGGGATGAGAATGACGAGCGGCAACGGGCTCATACCAATGATTCTGAGACGAAAGGTGATAGAATTGGAGCCTGGCAAGGAGGCTCCGCGAGACCTGATGCTGGCTCTGGGCTTCCAGCTCTAGATATGCTGGATTTAACATCCATTCTCGAAAGTTCGCAAGTCATTTCTAGTGTTCTCCAGGTCGATGAATTGCTCAAAACGATGTGTGAGATTATTCTGCAGAATTGTGGAGGCTTGGCGTCAGTCGCTGCGATCGTCGTCGAAGAAGAAGATCCCATTGGGTGGAGCATAGCCGCTAGTGGTGACCCGGAGAAAGGTGCTGTGGCTCATATACCTGGGCTGCCTCTGAGTGAAACGGCACTGGTTGCCGAAGGGGTCATTCTTTATTGCACTCGATTTCGCGAGACTGTATTCCTACCTGATCTCATTAATGATGAGAGGTTTAGTAATGTTAATCCTGCTTGGTCTGCACGCAACCCCCTGGGGAAATCAGTCATCGCTATTCCAATATGCCACGGCATCAAACCATTACTTGGAGTTCTTTATTTGGAAGGTCAACCAAACGCTTTTACCGATAGAAACCTTACAGTCCTCCAATTGCTTGTCAACCAAATCGGCATTAGTTATTCAAATGCCTTGACTTTGAAAGAAGTAGAAAAGGTTTCGGCCTTTAACAATTCTATGGTTGATGTGCAGAGAAGAGCTTTAGCTAAAGCTTTGGAGGCTGAGACAAACGCTAATTTGGCAAAGGCGGAGGCACTTCGCAATGTCAAATTGGCCGAAGAAGCTGCTAAAGCCAAATCTATCTTTCTGGCAAACGTAAGTCACGAATTACGCACTCCTTTGAATGGAGTCATTGGAAATTCGGAGCTTCTCCGTGATAGCGATCTTCGTAAGGAGCAAGCGGAGATGGCTGACTCGATTCGTGTTTCTGCGGATCTACTGCTTACTGTCATTAACGATATTCTAGACTTCTCTAAGATGGAAGCTGATAAGATGAAGCTTTTCATTGTAGCATTCAATGCTGATGAGATGATACGAGAAGTTGTCAGATCTGTTTCATATAGCAATAGAGACAAAAGGAGCTCTCGAAATGTGGAAATCATCCAAGATATTAATCTTCCGCAATCTCTGATCTATGGAGATCCGGTCAGACTCCACCAAGTTCTTGGTAATCTCATTGGTAATAGTTTGAAATTCACCGAGAATGGTTCTATCACTGTTGGTGCTAAAACAGATTGGGAAACCAAAGATGCCGTTAAGTTGACTTTCTGGATCAAGGATACTGGAATTGGCATACCAAGGCAGCAGCTGCTCAAATTGTTCAAACCTTTCTCTCAAGCAGACAACTCCACAGCTCGTCGTTACGGGGGATCTGGTCTCGGACTCAGTATCTGTAAGTCACTCATAGAATCAATGATGGGTGGACAAATAGAGCTTGAGAGTGTCGAAAACCAAGGCACGACTGTCTGGTTCTCTGTAACTTTCAATAAAGCCAATCCGGAAGTTTCTGCAGGAGATACTCAGTACGAACCTCCGCGGGAAGCTATACAAAAACCCATTGAGGCCCCAGGCGTAGAACCAGTTCCCGCTGAATTCAACGATTTCTCTCATATGAGTCGAGATGCTTTGCGTATCTGTATTGCCGAGGATAATCCTATTAATCAAAAGATTGCTATTCAATTTATGCAAAAATTGGGATTTAAAATTATTGATGCTTATGACAATGGAATGGCAGCTGTGGAGGGCGTTAGACAAAAGGCTCGCGAAGGCACCCCATATCATATTGTTCTTATGGATGTGCAAATGCCAGTTCTTGATGGATATGAAGCCACCAAATTGTTACGCAAAGATCCAATCGATGCAGTCAGAGGTATTCTTGTCATTGCGATGACAGCATCTGCCATCCAAGGAGATAGGGAGAAGTGCTTGGCTTCTGGTATGAATGATTATCTGGCCAAACCTGTTAGATCGGGAATTTTGAAGAAGAAATTAGATCAATATCTTCAACAGGCAAGTTGTACAAAAGACTTCTAGAGGGAAAATGCTAATATCAACTAGACTCCCCTCTCCCTACCAAACCTTAATGCAGATGCCAAGAAAGTGGCACGAGACATCCTTCAAGGGGCAAAAGATGACAAAGTTACAAATGGTGCAAGAGCTCCTTCTCTCCCCAACGCAAAGGACACTTTTATAGATGAGAATGAACGAGGTGCTTCTTCTTCACCCGCAGATCGAGCGGCACGAACAAACTCTGTCGAAAGTAGTTTTTCACCCTCACCTCTAAATCGATCGCCATCAGCATCACATTTATCTGGAGAAGCCACGCCGACTCCTTTTCATCCATATGGAACAGCTAAAAATGAGCCGCATCGATTATCTGTTACGCAAATGTATTTGGATGACCTCGATAAAACACCTACTGGGGAGGACCAAGGTCGTCAATTGACTGATGGGGTTGATGGGATTCACGAGAATCGTGCTTTGAATGGGATGACGAAGGCAGCTAGGACTGGCGATGAAGAGTTATCGCCTAGAAGTAAACCGGCAGCATGAGAAGTCTTGACGGGTAAACACTTCTCGTGTTGATGAAGATGGGTAATGGAACTAGCACAACTTGGTTGAGCCTATGTTCCATGGCAGATATTGGTTAATCGCGGATCTGAACGAAAGGTTGGTGCAAAACAAGGAAAACAAACCAAAATTTATACGAGAGCGGAGGAAAACAAGGTCAAGATAAAGGCGAAGAATTATTTATATATGAGACGGTCGTTACGAAGGCAATTTTTGTACAAAGCCGTGAGTTGAGATATGGCAGCAGAGGATAAAGACATGGATGGAGACTTTAGATATCCCTTCGTGATACATTGTTTGGTTTTTGATTTATCAGACTTCTTGGGTGTAGCGGTGGCGTTTTTGGGCATTGCGATTACGAGTTTTTGCATGGTGATTGATGCGGTGGATAAGAGGTGGGAAGAGGAAGGAAAGGAAAATTTGGGTTGGAATGAGAATATGGATACGAATTCGATAGGATGGTTGGTTGGATGGATGGGTGAATGGCGTGCTTGATGGTTTGATGGGCTTGATGGGTCTTTTTGAGGGGAGTAGAGTCGCAGAAGAGATGGGGAAGATAGGCGAGATGAGGACTAGGATGTCAGTGGGTGAGAAATTTGATGGAGGATTTGATGGTTTGATCAATGAATGGTATGTCAGTAGAATAGCATGAATGATACCAGGTTGGGAAATAGTACATATTCATTGTAGACAATTGAAAAAGAAATTCCTGCAGTCGCCTCCGAGTACAGTTGTTTTTTCTTCTTTGAGCAATTAGTTGTGATTAAATGATATTAAGATGGAGACAAACGGCATAGAGAATTTGACTTGTAAGCAGGCGATGTGATTTCTTTTGATGGGGGATTTTGGATCCTCGAGATCAAGAAGATCTCAATTGAGTATAGAGCATGGAGTTGAAATTTTTATTCCTCTGCATCGGGGTGCATGTGAATGAAGTGTTCAGGGAATGTGGCTCCGTTGAATAAGCCTTGGTTTATTTTGTTTCGTTTAGCTGGTTCTTTCTGTATACACATATGTATCTAGGTACTCGACTATACATGATGTGAAGTTCTGGCGGCGAGATTATCTTCGTGGGCGGGGACTTGAGAATAGGGAATAGGGAATGGGGAGTAAAGCTAGTGATGATGATGCATGGGGATTGGGAATTGGATTGGTTGTTTTTGGTTGGGATGGTTGGGAAGGTTAGTGTTGGTTCTTGGGGTGGATGGGAGTAAGGATTGGGGATGGGATTGTATGTGTGAGGGTTGTTGGAAGTAAGTAAAGGGTTGTGGGGTTAGAGGTTTGATGGGTGATTATTAGATGCTGTTATATACAACTGTTGAATCGGAGAGGTGGAGAGTAAGGAAATTTTATGGAGAAATTCTGAAATCATTGATGCAGATGAAAGGATATTTGTGAGACTAGATTTGTGGGATTGTGTTGCATGTTGATAGAGATTAGATGAGTGTTGTGAATCTGATAATGGCCGCTTCTCGATTGTTTGATGCGGGGAAAGTGAATGGAGACAGAATGAGAAGTGGAAAAGAGAAATAGACGGAGACGCTAGCTCGTAGATGAAAAAACGGTAGATTATTCTCGTGCTACTATAAGAACAAAATATTACTTTTATGTCTTTAAAGTTGAGATATTTGTACTCTTATATCATTTAGATTCTAGCCTAGTATATATTCAGAATCTATACATAGATTCTAGCTTCTAGTCGTAGACTCTATTTTTCTAACACTAATTTCTAACTTTTAATATAAATTCTAGCTTTCACTATTATAAATTCCAATTTTACACCTCAGAGAGTCTACCCGAAATACATGAACTCTAGCTATCATAGAAGCTGAGTGATATGGGAGTGGATTTAGGCCAATTATAGTGGTATCAGAGTAATTTACCGTAAAAGAAAACCTTGTGCTCGCTTCTGTAAATAAAATTCCAAGTCATTCGTCTATATAAAAGATATATACCAACCCCGACATCTACTCTTCCATCAAGCCTCCACCTCTGCATAAACAGCCTTCTCAAATTCTTCAAACATTTCTGCAGTCTGCTTATCCCCAGTAGGGATCAACTGACTTCCATAAATTCCACTAACACCTGCTTCTCGATCAGCCCACCAAGACAAATTTGGTAATCCGCCCCAATACATTGCCCCTTTTCTTCTCCTCCCTTCCAGATCCTCCAGAAGTATCATTCCCCCTAACCCATGATCAAGTTTCGTATCGGCTGGAATTGAGGGGGTCATTATATAGCGCATTTCCGGAATCTGAAGTGTGTAATTCAGATTCGCCAATTGCGGCTCCGTCAATTGCCCTTCAAACATCCTGTCATTCATCGCTTTGCTGAGAAGTTTCTCGTCTGAAATCGTGATGCTGTGTAAGACCTTTTCGTAAGAGGGTATACTCATGTAAACACCCACTCCGCCTGCGTCGTCGATTTGCTCTTGTGACCAAAAAGTATCCGCGGTGTAGACGAGCGCACCGGCGGTATTGGCGGCGGTACCGAAGGGAGTCATGCCTCCGACGCGAACAGTCATATCAACCAAGCGTGAAAGTAAAGCAGGATTTTGGTCAATGTGGAATGTTAAATCTGTGATGCCAAGGGGTGCGCAGATGTATTCATGCATGTATTCTTCCAATGTCATGTTGTTGGCTCGTGAGATCATTAGACCGGCCCAATCAAGACCGGCTATTTTAGAGAAATCTTGTCAGCTTTTGTCTTCTTTCTTTGCTTGTGAGGTTTTGGGACATGGAAAGGAGGGGGAACGCACTAGAATAGGCCCAAGAAGTCCCAGGTTCAAACATCAATGGGGTTTTACAACGTGATATCAAGGTTCCCTTGTCAAGCGTGGCAAATTCACCTCGTGTAGCTCTCCAGCGAATCAGGTCAGGTGTAGAGATATCGTATGCTAGCCCGGATGTATGGGTGAGAAGCATACGGAGCGTGATGTTTTTCGTGGCCTTGACAAGCTTGGGCTTTTCCTCGGCATCGAAACCCTGGAGGATATCAAGATGCTCGAGTTTGAGCTCAGGGACGAGTCGAGAGACGTCCTCATCGAGTGTAAATTGGCCACGCTCAACACATTGGAGAGCGGAAATTGAGGTTAGGAGCTTGGTGCAGGAGGCAATCGCGAGGATGGCATCTGTTTTCAAAGGTGCAGATGAGGCGGAGTCGAGAGATCGAAGTCCGTAGGATGAGGTGTGAGTGAATGATTTCGTAGCATCACTGGCAACTGTGACAGCACCTGTAATTTTGCCTGCAGAAATTGCAGACTCGATTTTGGATTTGAATGAATTCATGATGAAGTAGGAGGAAGCGATATATATATTTCTTCAGATAAATGGCCCGTTAAAATAGAAAGGCTGGAAGATAGAAGAGTGTAATCAGAATGATACCGATGTCAGACAATGTGATTTCGATGGGGGAAAGAGTTCTTAAATAGTAATTGAAAACTACCTAGGTGGTTGCCGCTTTCTCAATCGCATCTTGTGTGATTGGTGAAAACCCAGTTTTGAGACCCATTGAGCCTCGCAACCATATTTTACCAGGACGTTGCTATTCCAATACCACCATATGTGTCAGCATGAGTCTCATCTAAGACCAACATTACCCACATATGTTGTCCAGCGAGCTCGAATGATATTATCCAGAATCGCCTCAAATTGCCGCTTCAGCCAATGACAGTCCCAAGAATACCGGCATCAACTGCTTTGAAATTGCAAACTTGTGTTAACCACTCTCATCAGACATTCTCGCGTGTGTCCCACATGGATAGTACGTACCGTCGGATACCGATACTGTGTATTTTCCCCGTGATTTCAACTCTATCTCAATATTTGATTAATCGAAACTGGGTATCATTACTGACCAACCCTGTGCGATTCTCCACAAAGTTTATAAACAGGTCGCTGAGGAGAGCCCCGCAAAGATAGGCATAGTAGTGGGTGTCTTGGCCCTAGCTTCTAAACCACGAGCGGGTCAAGATTGCATGCTGTTTCAATTGGTTAAAAGATGATTGTCGAGGATAGGACTTAGGGCTGTTGGTTTAAGCTTAATAATATCTTGGTGAAGATCAAGATTCTTGCCCGCAGAAGGATATAACGCTAGTTTTTGAATACATGTCCGGGAGGCTGGATTCACATTGCGGCCTCGGAAATTTCTGAATTTCCTTTTGTCCGTTGGGTTGGTTTATATAGAGTACAAGAGTTCTGAGGAGATCCTTAATGACCTTTCTTCTCTAGAAGGAAGATTCAAGGGTTTACTAGTGATCAAAGAACATACTCCTGACATTCGCTTGTCATCAGATGGAAATTGGACAGCAGTCCGGTCTAAACGGATGAGATCTAAGCCCCGGGATAGAAAATCACGAGAAACCACGATCTCAAGTTATCTTTTCAATGAAAGCCAACCGTTGCTTCTAAATCGGCACTGGTATACCCGATTTCCAACTGAAAATATTGTAGATCCCCAGATATAGATTAGTGCAGGCCCCCTACATAAGTCAGAATGATGGATGAAAGCTTAAGGTTTAGTGGGGTTCGCTTCAGTGGAATGCTAGCTTTGCATGCGCAAACTACGAGGGAGCCAAAAAATGAGGAGCTTGTTTTTATCGACTGGGAGAAGTATGTGAATACACAGGAGGCACTGGTTCCGGTCATTTTTTTCTGGACGTGTGGTCACTGAGTGATTGCACATGAGACATCATTATGTTGAACAATGCTTTGGATTAATAGAGTGCCGTTTTTGTATGGAATAATCTATGAGCAATCAAATCTTTCAATTCGAGCCTCCTAAGCTTTAATGTCCATTTTCTATAAAGTTCTTTATGCATCAAGGAATCTTCGCATAATAAGTCTAGCTCGATGAATCAAGCTTCCAAATCCGAATGGACGGTAAAGTCTACGAAACGACAATACCATATGTCTCATAAGGAAAATCTTCCAAGTTGGGAAGAAGCTGCCCCCAGTCATCATCAATTTCACCCAATTGCTCTTCATTCCCAGCCATCATACCCATTCTCCCAGCCAACACTTTTTTCTCTTGTCCCTTATACTCTGCAAGTAACCCCTCATGAGGAACCCAAACAACCTTCATCCCAGCTCTCCTCCCCGCTTCTACTCCTGGAACCGAATCTTCGAATACAAGACACTCCTCTGGTTGAATTGGCTTCTCATTCTCCCCCAAACTCTCATTAATCAATCTCAATGCCAACAAATAGATATCAGGCGCCGGCTTTCCTCTTCCCTTCTCTACTCTCGGATCGTCTCCCAAGACCCTTCTCCCTTCTCCAAAAACCTCAAGTAACCTCCTAGTCTCTTCTTTACTAGTCTTTAATCCAAAGTTGTACTTCTCACTACTCGTTGCCAACGCTATATGTACTTTATTCCCCTCAATATCACGTGCCGTACTCAGGTCCTTGAGCAATTTCTCAACACCAGGGAGAGGTTTACAGGAGGGGAAATGGAGCTTTTGCTGTTCGCGTTGCTCTGATGCGTATTGTTCTTTGGAAATGGGTAGTTGGGCCCAATCTATGAAGACGGAGCTGGTGGACCCGCCGGGAACGCCCATGAGCTTAGCTTTGATAGACCAAGGGAGGGGAGGACGATTATATTTGGCGAGAACATGGTTGGCGCATAGGGTGTACATGTCCTCGGTATTTATCAGGAGACCGTCCATGTCGAAGAGACATGCTCGGATGGGAGGGAATCTGGGGTCCTTAGTATATTTCTTCGATTTGGTAGAGCATAGTTTCTAATGAACTCGGTGATGCGTCTTCTTGACTGTGGTGTATGCTGGACTAGAAAATTCTTAGCTTACTGAGTTTTGCCGCTCATGGTTGGTATAGACTCTAGAGCAATAGTGGTATTGTAGAACGTGACACAGTAATCCTCTTATCGTTGTTTGCAGGTGCCAATCCGAAATCGGGTGAAAATTTTGCAAACCACCTTTGAGTCTTGCTCTCTTTTCAGGTTGGATTCTTTTTGAGGCGATTAAAAACTTCAGGATAGTAAATTTCAGCAGTCCAGTAACATAAAAAAGATAGCCACTTGAAGACAACAGATTCACTCACATCGACATACAAAAGTACCTAGATACTAAAACCCAAGTATAAGCTCCAGGAGTTATTGTTCGGAGTAGCTTCGGCTAAATAGCCTCAATCTCTCACCATCGAGATTTTGTTTGTTTTGATCTGTCTATTCTTTCGACATCACAATCTAACCTGTAATGTTTTGTTTTACGTCAGTTCTACCCATTAGAAGAAGTTAATTCATGGTATTAAAGAGCTTTATGTCTGTGGAAATCTAGGATTTCCGTTAGAGAATATTGATATCTTTGAGTGGATTGGGAGTATCAATTGCAGCTTTCTGTCCGCACCAAGCAAAAGACCCACCTAGAGATCAGGATTCCAGGTGTAAGTGCATCATTATTCACTTTGTGAAAACGGGAATTTCTGTATCAATTTTTTCACTCCTTTTTCATTTCTAATATCTAACGTTTTTCTAAGTTATAACTACTTCACTTCCCCTTCAATCCAAGCACCACATTTCCATACATCGAATGCGCTTGTTTTGAACGCAGAGGTAGAATTTCGATGTCCAAAAGAGCTTCCGACCACTACGCCCGCCACAGTACTGATTGCCTCTTCCACGATCAGAGCCTCCTCGATGTAGGTTGCCACCACGCCCTGCATTTCGATCCTGGCTTGGTACCAAAACGCTAAATCTAGTATCGGAAGGTAAGCCTGGATGTGCTTCACCGACAACATCTGATTTATTGGACGTTGAGTACATGGATGGCTATTAGCACCAAGGCTTCCATCGACAATCTCTCGACTTCTCGGACTTTGCATATGTAAGCGGTCATATAAAGAAGCTCTCCAATGTCAGATGGCAGCGGAGAGCTTTTGTTGCTTTTGCCTTCTGCCACCCCGATGATAAAATTGCAAGGAAGGAATTGTTGACCCAAGAAGGGCTTTGCTTGACCAGGCACTGGCATACTTGATTTTAGACCTGACTTTGTACAATTCAAATGGAACTTCGGTTCGTGATCTTCAACCTCTACAATGGCGAGTTCTTGAGATAAGGTAGTGCAGCAAATACTTGCCAGTACTGCCAATTGTTGAGACCAGTCGCATACTTGTATTCAGCTTTGCACTCTTGTACACAGATCGGAGACTGGCAGCAAAATGTGTCGAATCACTTCTCGGCAGCTCACAATGGAAGTGTTTGAATATGACCCACGTTTCATTTGCAACTCGACAGCAATCCTGGGAAAAAGTTCAAAGATCGGCATATGCCGTCGCATGGCTTTCCCTGATCTTGTTAGATGCGCTATGTGCTACCTACCACCTGTACTTCATGCTTGCAGTGTCTGAGCAGTTCCCGCTTTCAATTGTTAGCATTGGTGGACCGTTTGCACGGACTCGCCAACAAAGCTCTCCGGTGTGCAAGATGGTTTGAAATCCGTTTGAGACATCGACATCATCACGAATAAAGCCATTCCGACGAATTCGAACCGATCGGATATCCTTAATTGTTGTGCCGATTAAAAGAGTTTGTTAATGAAATAACTTGGTCGCGTCGAACTCTTCTTCCTCCTATATCCATCAAGTGCAGATAGACTGGGAACAGAGAAATGTTGGCAAGCCCATTCTTCCATTGAGCAGACCAATTGGCGAGCCCGATGCTCGACTTTTGAAAGTGTGATTCAAAAGGCAGAGTCACAAGACCCAACAAAGTATTGGTAGCGATCGAAAGCAAAAGAAAAGCTTTGGGGAGAACTTGCTCCGTATATATCTCTTTTCTTTGAATTGCGGGAGGAGACATGTAAGCGGTCATATAAAAAGGTCTTGAGACTTAGTGTGGTGTGGTTCTCATGGGAGAACGACCTGGTGTAGGTCCAAATGGGGTTGGTGGATGTATGTTAGCACCCAAGAGTCTCTGTTTGAGCTCACTATGGGCTAGCGTAATCGTCGCCCAGTAAGATCATCTTCGACTTGTCCTTGGCTGGAGCTTTCACCCAAGCCAGGGCAGGCAATCCAAGGCAAGTCTTCCTCCATGACCTGTGTGCAGGTAAGATGTGTAAGCGGTCATATAAAGAAGTCTTCGAGCATAGAACATCTGTGGGGTGACATGGTTCAGTCCTGGTACAACAAAGCTGCAGCAGAACCAGCCATAGACATATTACTGTACATTGAATTCCATGGCGACTGGTAGTATTCGTTATGAACCGTTGGATTTTTGAGAGTGTCTTCGGGGCTAATAGATGATGGGGCACATCAATCTTGTCAAGACATGTGGCCCGCAAGCACACACAGGTGATAGTATGCCAAATTGAGACACTGAGAGGATACCAGAAAAAAACCAGCTTATCTCTTGGGAGCATGATTTCCACACAACCCTCTGAACATCCACAATTACTAGGATCTGCGATGCAGGTAGAAGGAATTCCCCACATCAATCCATTTCCGTCCACCGAACAAGTTGGTTCATGGGTGACAGTACTGTACTTAGAGCACTTAAGTCATAAGGAGACCATTTGTCTCTTTATAGAGTGATCTTTAACAGTAATATTTTCCACTGCTGCTCATGAGGCCTTTGAAAGATATGCCATTGATTTTTGGCCATTCTTTACCTCGGTCTTCTCTTTTACCTAGATAATTATGAGTGGCCGAATTATTGAAGGATTGTAGAGAGACTTACATTGATAACTTGAGGCTTCTGTATTTTATTTTGAGAAGCTGGATTGCCGATTTTTTGCAAGACGTTTCGCACGAGCTTTAACAGCTGGTGTAATAGGAGGACTACTGTAATTGGATGGTGAGTTGTTGAATGACGGAGGTGTTTCTAATCGAAGTTGCGATTGAGATCGGCCGTTGAAATTCGAAAGATCGAGAGGATTAGTGATAGAATTATCATCATGTATAGTGATTGACGGAGTCATGACTCTCTTGTTCACTTTTATCACTCATTGCCTCCGCGCAGCTACCGATGAAGAATCCACCGTCTTTTCGAGAGTTTTGTCAGCGCCGATTGGCTTAGCTGTTAGTCGCTCGCATGCTGGTCAGATGTGCATTAACACTTCCGTCGTACTGCTCTGATGTCTTAAGAGCCATGATATGCGTCAAGTAAAAATCAATAGCGGTTTTCATCACAAACTGAAATCGAGTTTGGTAGTTACTGCTAGTGCAGTCGTGGCTGTCCTTGTCGTACTTAGAGACGGCAAGTGAAAGTAGGATAGTATAGCACCGCTGATGGTGTTTTTGAAGATGATCGGTGATAGAAACCTGGGGCTTTGTGTTATCCGAGGCCAGAACAGCGACCAGTGGTAACAGTCACTTTCGTCTTCGACCCATTCCATGTTTAATGGAACTTTTGAACCTAGGATTTGATAGTTTCCGCAGAATTCAATGTAGGCCAAGTTGCCCATGATAAATGAAGCGGCCTAGATGCTTCGAAATGCAGATTGCAGAGGTGTACCAGGGAATCCACCAGGAGCTAATCTGATTTGACGACTGTAGCTTTACCAAGAGCCGTTGAAGACTGCTGAGGTGGGCGCTTTATCATTGCCTCACTGAAAGATCTTCAGAACAGAATGTAGTTGAAGTATTGAGACAAACTTACATTATTGAAGAGAAAAGTCGTCAATCCAGCTCATTGAATCGCTCGTGAGGCTTCCAAACCCAACCGGTAATTGTGCAATGAAGGTGGCACATCGAGCTTACATCTCCAAGGGATGAACAATGTTTGGATGCAGAAGGTCGGGTCGTTGATTTCGGCCATCACTGTACCTGTCTCCAAGCGGTTGTTCGTTGTGGTGGCGAACAATTTTGGCGATTGTGGAGGCTTTCGAAATAGCCACTGTTCACCAAACTGTTGAGAGATTTAACAGTAGGTGGGATCCAGGATTGTGTTGGTAGTGCCGACCAAGCAAAATATATATTTTACTGACATTTCGGTCGTGTTGCGATTCTGTTGCTGTTAAGGAGCTTGACGATATCTTTGTTGCATGCTGTAAGAGCTTTGAATGACAAGATGTTGTTAACGAGCTGAGTCCAAGTGAGTGAGGCCAGGTTCCTGGTATTGAGGAGTAGAGAACTCATTATCACAACCTCTTGGGGGTAATTCGTCACTTCTTAAGGTCCGAAGAGCTAAGTGGGCTTTGAAACTGGGGGATTGAGAATATCGAAAGCCCGGAATATTCCACGACAGGGTCTTCATGACGGTAAGGTAGAATTGGTCAGATCGACCTTGTTTAGTGCAAATTCTTCCTCATAAGACACGAAAAAAGCTTTAGTTCATCTAGACAGCAGGTTGTGGAGCCTGAACTTGAGCCACCACCCGTAATCTTCTGTTGATGCTGGTTGTGTGACAGCAGAGCTATCCACGTCGGATTCAGCTTCCTGTTTAGTTTGCTTCGCAGTCTTTGGGGGTGCCTGGCACCATACACAATGATACATGGTATATGGACGACGGTCTTCGTCATTGCTTAAGAAAGGAACAGTAATGACAAGCATTACTCTAACCTGACTGAAAGCCCATCACATGTATCTTTTCAAATGCGGAATGGTTGCGAGACGCCTTCTCTCGTCTGGTACGCTGGAGTTCTCTCAAGACGTTGATCTACTGCGAGATTGTCAGCATCAGTATAAGATCTCAAAAGCATGGAATGTTGAGTACCTCTCTGGTTTTTCTCGGAAGTTTCCATGTTTTGAAGTAGGTTATCAAAGACGTCTGTTCGATCTCTCTCGCGGTGGTCTGGAGAACGAGAAAGAATTGTATTTTGAGGAGAGAATGGTTAGTTGCCATTCAGATGTTATATATAAATGGAATGTTGCAAGTTCCAACAGTACCAGCTTCACGAAAGGTAACGCCGAGAAGACGCGCCGAAGCGGCTGCGAGAAACATATTGCATTGGTACAGAAACTAAAAATATTGCTAATATATAAGAATTCTATCACTACCCACACCGATCTCAAACCCTTTCGTGCCTTTCCCTTCGTATTGTGTTATCGCAGATCAACATTGTCTAGCCCAGAGCTTTACTCGGTATCCATGCTAAGAAGTACGCGAGATCAGTCCCCATCATGATTGATTGCTTCTGATCGTGATGATGTTCATTGCTGCCACTGCACTTTGAGCACAAGAGGTTGCGAACCCAGAGTTGCCATGTGATGTTTTGGTTCACCTGGTTTGCATAAGTCCTGATTCCGTTTCTCCAGTGATTCTACTCGTCGCTTTAGTAATCTCTGCCCACTGGGAGATTGGCTTCAAATATTGTCATCGGCAGCATCATGCGCTTGGCATATGCTTCAAGCTTAGTCGAAAGGTCGTCGTTGTCTGTGTCAAGGATAAAAGACGTGAGTCCAGTCTCTTCATCCTGCCTAGCAGGCAGCATCAAATATTGTCATCGGCACCAGGATTCTCTTGGTCGGAGCTGAAAGCTCGGCTTTATATAGACAGATCAGTAAGTGTTCTGCAGATTCAAGATTTATTACACATACCTTTGCTCTGACGTTATCGAAAGATGGAGGGCTAATAGTCGAGAGGCAAGGCTAAAGAGTTCTCTTTGATAGAATATGAACACAGGCATCTCCTCAAGAAGCTTCCCTTCCTGTCTCCAAGTTTTGTTTCCTTGCTCCACTGCTCCTTTTCCCAGGACATCCATCTCTTGCGCCCCCTCTTTGAACGCAGCAACATAGCACAGCACCTGAAAGCTGATGTAAACAGGGCTGTGAGGTCTGCTACATCTTAGGCTCGAAAGCGAAAGAGGCTGGGAAGCAAGGGAACTGCAGGCTGGTATCCCGTTGTATGCCGCTCCATGTGGCCCGCATTGAGCCTCCCGTGATGCAACTGCGAAGAATGAATTGGACATTGTTGAACAGAAGGTCAGGAGGAGCAATAAACTCATGATCGTGCTTGATCAACGCCGAGCAATTCCTGACACTCTCTGGACGGCCAAGAGAAGGTGAGCCAGCCTTGTCGTGAACGATCCACTCGTCTGAAACGTTGAGATAACCGTTCAGGACGTTTGAAACCCATTCGTGGTCAGAAGCAGTGCATGTTGCGAATAGACTTGTTGTTGTTGGGATGGTGAAGCGATTGAAGCTCCAGGCTCTGGGTGATACCCAGAGTCTGGAAGCCGGCTTCGAAAGCCGTATAGCTTGGCCCACCTGCTGGAAAGATCTCTCTTGAACCTTGGGTGAGTAAGCACGTGTACAACAAGGATCTGATGCTAGTAGGCAATAGAAGAAGAGGCGAGGCCGGGGTACATACATTGTAGAGCACGCAACGCAACAAACATGGTGACGTTTTCGAATAACTGCATTGCTTCTGTTGGGTGTTTGTTCTCAAGCCGAGATTCTCTGCTTACCATTTAAGACAGCTTGCTGTGTTGAAACACTTGCGTAGTAGCTTGGTACTTGGTCGTAGGTCTCACCGCTTGGATATAAGTGCTGATGGCGTTCACCGGTGTATGTGGTACTTATTAAAGCAAAGTTAGCATGGTTCCCTGCAATAAACGGAAGAGAGAGAAATGTCAGAACATGTAATGAAGAACTTTGGGATAGAAATCACTGAAGCCCTAGTATCATGGTCAGATACAGAAGCAATGGACTTTGAACTGATCTAAGATATTGATTACTGCTGGGGTGTATGTGGCTCACCAGTACTTTGAGGATGAAATTTGTGTTTCTCCTATGTGTCTCCTGAACGAGATCGAAGAATTGTGTTGATGACCGTTAAGGTGACGTTGACTGCCGCCATGGTGTAAGAAACCAGAAACAGATTCTGGCACTTACATTTGAAACCCACGAGGAAACTCTTGAATCTATATCAATCACCCTCGGTCTCTACTGAATGCATCGAACACTTTCTAGAGACCGAGGGTGATTTCCTTTCAGTGAAGTTATTTTCAGCTTGTGAAGCCGCATTACCATGGCCCAGCTGTTGGAAAGATTCTCTCTATCTCAATCTGGAGTCAGAATCAAACTCGCTAAATTGATAAGAGAAGGGTTTGATTTGAATGGAAGATGGAATAGTATTGATGGGAAGATCTTGGAAGGGGAAGAAGAAATAGTCTTACCAAAGATTGTAACTTGACAATAATGTCTATAAAGAGGAAGTATGAGTTTTTTGTTGAAAGAGAAGAGGATTAGAAGCTCAAAGAAGTGTTAAGAAGTTGGATTATAACCATTCTAGGAAAACTCTGTCTGAGCTAAGGATACCCTCGAGGGTATAGAAGATGTATCCAGTGAGAGTCTTCGAATTCCCGACTAAGCAGGAATATTAGTTCCAAAATAATCCCACAAACTTCTAATTCTAATTAATTTTTTATTGAAGTTTGAAATCCCTTTCCTTTCAAAGAATTGCCTTCTTGGCTTTCTCCTCAACTTCCATCTAGAGAAGTTAGACCTGACTAGCGCTTTTCTAGCCCTGACTAGCGATTTTCTTCCCCCTCAAATACCTCCTCCCGCCAACCCCAACTTAAAACTGCTTTCTACAGATTTGTTGTTCACAGCGGTTTATCAATAATTACCAAATGATATCTTACTACGAACAATATTCCTTTATTGCAATCTTATCCTCTCATGTAAAGCTCCGAGAAGTCTACCAAAATACATTGCGAGCTCGCCATAACCCGATTTTTATCAACACACTGGGAATGCCAGTGGTTATGGTATGAAACCAACTCCAACCCTTTGCTTTCAATCACTGATTAAATAGTCGTTTTCTGAATCAGAACCGCGACGTCTCTCTATGTCAACTCGGTGATGATGCAATTGCAGGCCGATTGTTGTACGTAAGTAAGATCAAACCTTCACTCCCTACATCAGTGAATCGAGTACAAACTTCTTTCTTTTGGAAACCATGACTAACAATAATGTTGAAAACCAGATGCACACTGGGCAGCGAAATTTAATTTACGTCTGGAGCACCATATTCAAAGGCAATCCATACGAAGAAGTAATTTGGTGAATCACCACGTCGTCGTAACGAACGTGCTGGAACTACAAGGTTTGTTCGTCCATTTCCATGTTCGGCATATCGCTAACCATGAATAGTAAAATGTCAAACTACTACATCATCCGCTGTGAAACGTGGCACATATTTGTCAGAAAATAGAATCAGTTTCTTCGCACCAACACCATCAAGGTGGAAATGATAGTGCGCGGACCACTTTCAACATGGTTTCAGAAAGTATTATTCTCAAGAATTTGGTACCAAATTTGAGTGCACCTCGCCGACTGCTCTCGCAAGACGTGTGGTGGTTGTGCCTCTACCCTTGGGTTCCTAACGCCTTCATCTCAAAAGTTTACACGGTGGTCAAATTCACCTCGCGACAGCTCTCGCAGAGCTGGTGGCCGCTTTTTTTTTTCAATTCGTCCAGGTTCCTAACGCCTTCATCAAGCTTCCAACATAGCGTGGATAACGCGTACAAGCATTTCGTCGACGGCGATGAGGGGTGATATAGCGAAGCAATGAAGCAAAATCGTGAGCCTCGTCGACCTGCTCTCGCAGGACTGGCGGCGACTGTGCCTCCGTCCACCGAGTTTCCCAACGCCTTCATGTGATCTTCTAGGGATCGCAGACACCTCGTCGACTGCTCTCGCAGGACTGGTGCTGCCCTGTCTGCCATTCGATTCTAGTTCGTCTGTGTCGTTTGCTCCCTCAGAAATGTCGTTGTGTTCTGTCTGCCATTCGATCCTAGTCCATTTGCGCCAACAACAGCAACATGCTGTTCCTCGGATTCTAAATGCAGTCAACTCACTTTCTTCATGATTGCAGCTGCGAAAAACTGCTACCTCAATTGCCTTTCAATTTTTCATGAAACTCAAATCATGATCTTCACCAATCGTGACAAGTTCAGAGATACGACACGGACTTGTCGTCAAACACTCTGCGGTCGCCAAGTCTATTGCCGATTCTCCGGGCTGCTCAAAAACCACACAAAGCAACGTTCCTTAGGGACATAAGCACCCTTGGGGAGAGGTGTTGAAAGTGCCCAGGCGGATATTGTCCGGCCGCTTTCCAGTTTTCAGTGTCGGGACTCTGCTGGGTGACAAACAAGATGCTATGGTGGACATCGTCCGATATTATGCTCTTCGTTTGATGATCATTTAGCGCCGTACTGTACCTATTCTTTGGTAGGAACCTCACGAACTCGCGTTCTTCCATGAGAGCTGATATGCTCCTAATTATCCTCTTCAATGTCTTTAGAACATGCTGTATCAAACAGCAACTTTTGTGTTGCGGTGCGGTTCCAGCGGGTACCCTGAGGAGAACCGCCGACAGAATCAATGTTGGCGGCTCCCCAGGGCCTGTGGGTCTGCACCAGGCTATATTGCTGGGTCTCTATGAATCGTTCTGAATCGATGGATTACTCCGTCTCGCATTTCATTCCCTCTCAATCTACAGCCCACAATAAGAGGGAAAGAACCTCGTCTCTTTCATCAGTCCAGAGAGAGTGGCAGGAGGGGAGATTACAGCTGGGGAAGATGCCTCTGGTGAAACAAGAGGGGAGAGATGAAGTACTGAGGAGAATGGCAAATACGACCTGCAGGGAACGATAAGCTCCAAGCGCTAGGCCCTATATGCTCCGAATGGACGAGCGATCTGATGAAAATGAGGAGTGCGGTGTTTCTTTGGACCGCGATGACTACGGCAATGAAGACTGACCTCCACCTGACCTTGACGAGGCCTGGGATGAAAAGTGCTCTGCTGTTCACACCACAGGCCTCTTCTGATCCTTGACCGCACTCTACCTCTTTCTCATCACAGCAGATTCGCCGATCTAAGCTACTTCACTTGCGATCAATTGCCTGTGTTGACCCCGGCTTGACCATCATTACTTCCTCGCAGCTTAATTCAAAATCTTAAATAACCAATCCAATTCAATCTCCAAGTCATCTTTCCCGACCTTCTCGGCAATAAATTCACCGCGCACACGATAACTACTTTTCCCAATCCAGCTTTTCAAAAAGAAGCACCTACCACGGCAAATATTCCGGGAAATATGTTTGTAGTCGGTTCGTCTTTCTACTGATCTTAAGTAGAGCTTCGACTCCTGTCATTTGAGATGGCCACCGGGGAAAGTTAGTAGAGCTCCCCACGCCAGGAGAACCTGTTGAAGCTCCAGTCGTTTCAGAGGCAGAGATTTTCATTCTATTCTATTCCAGAGGAGAAAAGGGTCAAGGAAGAGAAAGAGATAGAGATGCAAATGTCATCTTACACACAGTAGATTCGTCTGTTTGATATCTTCGATATTAAACAGACGAATGCAAGACCAATTGATGTGAAAAGGATAATTCGCTTTGAGGGCGGGCTTGGGAATCGTTGGGTCTGACTTCTGCTATCTATGTACTTTCTGGCTTTCATTTGTATACTAGACGCTGATGGATTGCGTATTCCTATGTATGAGCATGATGTATTTAGATTTAACGATGAATATTGAGCAAATCTCAAGAACTAGTTGTAAAATAGGAAGATGTTTACAGTAAATAAATCAGCCAGTCAACCAAGAAAACAGCCTCCAACCCCCCCAGATCTTCCACTCGACAATACGTAATCTATCTCAACATATCTCCCGACTCCTGTGCACTTCTCTCATCCATAAAAATTCGTGCACATTACTCCTGAGCCCCCAGAATTCATCCTCCAACCCTCGAACCCTCCAACCTCCAACAAAATCACTACTCAATCTCAATCTACTCAATCCCTAAATCCCCTTCCTAAACCCCCCTCCCCGAAACCTTACAAACCACCACCCCAACCCAAAACCATCCTTATCCCGCGCTCATCCATCTATTCCCTTCCCATTCTCCATCCCCCATTCTCTTCTCCACATACCATCTCATCCCCATCTAAACCCATGCCATCTCCCACACTCCTCTTTCCATATCACTTTTATTCATTTTTCTTCACCCCCAGGCTCACTCACCCCCAGAGGAAGTTATCCTCTCGGATAATATACAAACGACTAGTACCTCCAGAACGAACCCATCTCTCACATCCTCGCCTCAAATGTCACAGTATTTCTGGGACTAATCATTAGAAGTGAGCTGGATTTCTGGGTGTACTGTGTTTTTATGGTATATAGGTACTCGGTACTTCTTGGGACCTCGCAACAGAATACAGTCGTATGAGCAATCTCATATCATATCATATCATATCATACCAAGAACTACAATTCCATGTATCCCCACTACTAAGACTCACCAGCTAGACGTTTCATCTCGAGTAGGTTCGTGGGAGAATAAGTATCTTGTATATATCAGTCATTATGATTCCACACAAATGCAGAAACGTTAAGTTAAGCAGGAATTGGCATGAGCGAAAGGAGATACTTACTTACTCACTTACTTCCTTACTAGCCAGTTTTGTTTTTAAATACAACAAACCAGATATTTTAAGACCATATCAATACACGGCTAATGAATGAATGAATAAATGAATATATGGCTAGACCTACTACCTCGCTTCTTTTTCCTTCATCTATGACTGCGAATTATGAATGCATACCATGCAGCCAGTAGATTTAACATATTTATTGAAGAACTCCTCTTATTCACCAAGTTTTATAGAACTTGAACTACCTACCGGTCGCTACATTCCCAACTAAATGCATTTCACCGGGTATATCATATTCTGATACCAAATTTTGATTTCCGTCATTGGTACATATCACTACGTTGGATGTTATTTTAATCAGATGTTTATGGTGATAGCTAGCTATCTAGGTACATGGCATCTGGATAGATACTTGATTGGAGTCAACTGCCGAAAGATATTCACCAAGTAATATGGTCTATCCCGCTTCCGCAAAAGTAGACAATTCAGTATCCCTTTTCCGCAGAAAAAGAAGAAGACTTATTAACAATGTGATAATTCACCCTATTCAGAAGAAATACTTGAATAAAACGAAAAGATAGTGAAAACTGAATACGAATGAAAGGTAGAGCCACTAATCTCGATTTTCAAAATCAAAAATTCATCACCCATCTCCATTTCTATTTCCATCTCCATCTCCATCTCCATCTTAACGTGTATGCACCAAATAAATATCGCCAAACTCAAATGATCTTTCATACCCAAGGAAATTGACCACACTCACTGGTTAAACAAGATCCTCACACCGCCAGGACTATCGAACCACTCGGAATACTGCCCACTCGAGCAATGCACCTCTCCGTCTGCGTACTGCAAGAAAGTAGATGGATAGGTAGGTAGATAGGTAGGTATTGGCTACAACCATACCAGATGGTGGACTCAACATCTTCAGGCCAATAACGGTACATGATTATGGAGATGAAGGGCTAGCGTGGTCACTTCTGCAGGTACTGTACTACTCGTATGTATGTATGTAAGGCATCGAGTCTCGTCTCGTCTGCACCGCTGTTCGACGCTTCATATTTTCAACGTTCCAGTACCTAGGTAGGTATCTCCTTCGCGTTTGCCGCGTTCGGTGTTGTGTGATGTTGATTTGTGCATGTGATTGGACTGGTTTGTAAATTTAGGTTACCTACTGGCTGACTGACCCGTTGTGTCAAGGTCCGAATTTGGGTTTCCAAAGTCCATTCATCTTCGTGTCTCGAGTCTTACGAGCGTCCCAGAGTTCTCATACATTGTCGGTCTATATCTATATATAGAAATCGAGAGGATAATATGTGGAAGTATTCGTAATTAGTGATTACCCGACTTGCCGAAGAAACGAGACACTGCGTAATGGGTGGGGGACAGGGTTTGTTCTATGGTTGAATTGTATCTATAATTGTGTTGGATTTCGGAAACCTTCATACTCAAGAACAGACAGACAGACAGACAGACACGTGGATCCTAACTTCTAAAGGAAAGGAAAGGAAAAGAAAAAGAAAAAGAAAAGAAAGACCGATTGAGAGTCCGAAGAAAGTGTGGTTCTTCAAATCTAGACTCATCGTTACCTTTTCCGGTGAAAATAATTTTCTCATTCAAGGTAAGGTACCCCTCGTTCCGAGAGTCGTTCGTGTTCTTCCGGATAACATGCTCACAACATGCTAACCGTTATGAATCGAGTCTTCTAGTGAAGTGCGTAATAGGAGCGGTCAAGAAAGATAGAGGAATATCTTATCGATAAGCCTAGAATGGTACAAACTCCCCCTCCGGACTATGTCGCGCTTTAACATGTGGTGTTGTGGAAACCCATGGATAGTACGTCGTCACTCTTTTCCTGACGTGGATAGCATGGCATGGATGGAGATGATTTGACATACAGACGTTTGCTGGACTAAGTACTTCACGACACATATTCGTTTCTCTGTATTATAAGTTGTGATTTATGCGGGGGTCTAACAACGACAGCACAAGATGAAGGGAAGAATGAACACATAATATAGCGGTAGGTAACGTGAAGGTTGAAAGACTGAAAGATTGTGTCAAATGCTACTAGTGATAATGTAATCTTACCTTGTCGTGTTTTTGGTTAGCAACGATGTTGCCATAGAGAGGTAGTTCCATATCGAAGTGATTTTAAATGACCTCCTCTCTCCCCTTCAAGGTTGATCATCAAAACATGTGAAGATATCCACAACTTATTATTTAGTATATGTTTTCTTCCCGTTCAGCCACAACGGGGGGGGGTGCTGAGGTATGGTTGCACCACCTCAAGACGAAGTGCATCCAGTTCCTTCCTTGGGGTTTATGATTGGGTATTAACATCACCTCATCAAGTTTTTGTTGGTGATGGAGACCCAATACCAACACATTCCTCTGCTCTGCACCCAGTCGCTCCCCAATACAAACACACTCATTTTCTTGGAGACTTGTGGAAACGAGAGAAAAAAAGGTGATGGATGGATGGATGAATGATATCTTACATATCTACCTAGGGAAGATTATGAATTAAGCGGCTCAAGAAATCTTGATAAGGTTAGAGAGGTAACATATATGAATGATTCAATGAATGATAGGTCCGAATATATTGACATAGCCATTAGCTACCTAGCTAGGTATAGATTCGATGATAGAAATAGGCAAAAGGCACAAGTGTCTCTTCTATCGAGTGATTCGAGTCAGACCGAATATGGTTGGAATGCCTGGGTTATGTGATGTCTCTAACTTGATATCCATCTATCGGAATAGAAGGGGATAAATATCAAATCCCAACAGATCTCGATGGAGATGCATACGAAATGGACAAAGGAGGTTGTGACACTGGGTAACACATCATGTCAAATGAAAGCGTGGGGAAAGGTTTGTTGTGATTTCAGTTCAACGGTCTACTTACTTATCACTTCGTATGACACTTTTATTCGTAAATATAAATAGAGTAAGGTTACCGACGCAGGTAAATACTGGGAAGTAGATGTAGGCTGGATGAAAAGGAAAGGGGGGTGCGCTGTCAAAGTCAAAGTCAAAGTCAAAGTCAAAGTCAAAGTTAATAATATATCAATGACTAGTCAGGTAGCCAACGGACTTTAATTTGATAGCTCGAATGGACCTTAATCCACTTTGAACCTTGAGCTAACATGGGAAAATTACCCCTCCATCATTAAAAAAAATCATTTGTGAGGGAGTTCGATATAGATGTTAATTGTTAGCAGTGGATGAGCAATGAATGAATGAATGGATAAATACATACGATTGATTGACCTGTTCAAAGTAATCCCATCACTACCTAGCTATTGTCATCTTAAAATCAAACATCTACTTTTATGTATAACCTGAATGTTATGTTTTAAATATGATAAACTAATACTCATACCCACTGCGAAGACAAGTAAAGATACAGCATGTAGTATATCGTTACAGTATTTACTCTTCACATTTGAATAGAATATATATATATATACTACATATATACATGCATGACGCTCCGCTTGGCCACTGCCGTGGAGGCTTCTTCGCTTCGCTCTGTTGGTGAGAGGAAAGGAGAGGAGAGGACAGAAAAGAAAGAAGAAGCGTTCAAGTATGATGGTAGTAACAATAGGTAGTATGTATGTATTGCACGCAAGCTAATTAGACCAAGAAGCTTGTAACTTTCGAGTCCTATGTTTTCCTATGACCAACCTTCCTCTATTCAATCTATTGTACTTGATCATCGAAGTATACAAGTCTAGACAAAGTAAGACGAGAATAGCTGGTAACTTATTCTTACCTAGTATTGTCTAAGTATCTAGTATCGGTTCATCTTCTCACTCAACTATGCCTCATTTATATTGAACTTCCTCTCCTCTAGTCCAATATCGGTATGAATATCAATATCAAAACGTCCACCGCTTCATCAATGCAGCAAGCAGACTAGATAACTTTGCAGTCAGCATGCATACACACACACACACATACACATATACACATACATATACCTACATACATAATATACGGTATGTAACAAACCTAGCTCGCCTAGCATGTATACAAACATGATTCAGAATCACCACCCAACAACCAAGTCATCTTTTACCGCATTGCATTGGATTTGGAAGATGGATGTACGTCTATCACCTATCATTCATCGATCACTCACCCATCACTCACCCATCGCTCACCCATCACTCACCCATCACTCACCCATCCATCAGCCATCCATCAGCCATCCATCACCTATCACTTCACCATCTTTTGCATGAAAAGTTTCCTAGTCCCTGCACAAGATGCCCTAGTCCTTCCCGTACCTAGTCGTATTATGTGATTAGTGCACACACACAACCTTACCCCTCCAAAAATCAATCTAACCAGTAGTTTCCCGAGGGTCGCCGCATTTCGCATTTTTCGCATATTCCTATTAAAGATTTTTTTGATTTTTTTTTCCTTTCGAGTTAATCAAATTTCTTGCTTGGTACCTAGGTCCGTATTATTATATTATACCCAACCAAAATACATCACGTACCATCCTCTTTTTTCCTTTTCCCTTTTTTTGCTTTCTCTCTTCTCTCTTCACCATGTCGACTTCCCCACAATCCCCAGAGTCAAATCAACCACTTCCAACCTCCCATCCTACTGAAGAAGTCCAAGATGCCTCCCAGAGACGAGAGTCCGAGTCCACCACCCGTTCCACCGAACTCTCCAGCGTCACCTTAAAATTACGCAAGGCCCTGCGAAACTTCCCCGACTTTCCCATCCCGGGCATCGATTTCGTCGACATCTTGCCGCTCTTCGCCAACCACGATCTTCACGAATCTTTAATTCGCGCTCTCGAATTGCAAGTCTTGTTGGTGAATGGAGGAAAGAAACCAGATGTGGTTGTGGGTTTGGATGCTCGAGGATTCTTGTTTGGTCCCTCGCTGGCTTTGAGATTAGGTGCGGGATTTGCTCCCGTCAGAAAGAGAGGAAAGTTGCCGGGTCCAACGGAAGAGGCAAGCTTCGAGAAGGAGTATGGTCAGGATTATTTCCAAATTCAGAAGGATGCCATCAAACCAGGACAATCGGTTTTGGTTGTAGATGATATCATTGCTACTGGTAAGATTTATCCGATCGATCAATCACCCATGGGAATTTACGCAGACTTGTGGAATGGCTGGTCTTGACGAATGTGAATACGAACACATATACTAATATTTCATTCTAGGAGGAAGTGCCCAAGCTGCCGGAAAACTTGTCCAACAACTCGGTGGACATTGCATGGGATATTTGTTTATTTTGGAATTGGATTTCTTGAAAGGACGTGACAAACTTTCCGCTCCCGTCGCAACATTATTACGCGATTAAATAGTCATCAGGGAGTGGGAATCAAAAGTCACAAAACATGTTGTTGGGCGTTGGTGGAGGGTACCAGGTATATTCATCACATAGACCGCATTGCATTATACATGATGAGGGGGATTGATTGCACGAGGAGGTTAACCAGAAGGGGGGAATTGGTTTCATGACGAAAGGGAGGGCTTTTGCATAAGAGTGCCAGGTATCTTTATCTTGGGTTTGATACTCATTCAGCGGAGAGTATTCAGCGACAATAAGAATAGGGATATTGACTTTGGATCCAAAAGTATCTTGACGTCGATTTGGATAATAGTTTGGATTTTGGGACGGACGGATGGATGGATGGATGAATGGGAACAGAACAGAAATATGGCAAAATCCAATACAAAACTCATCTATCTTACCTTACCATACAATATCATATATATCATTCACGAGTATCTACCATTCTATATATTCACATGTATACATGTATACATTTCCAGATGACATCAAAGCCATACCTATGAATCAAAGAAGGGTCATCTCTTCCTGTTCTTATTCCTTTCCTTTCTTCTGACGCCGTCACTCCTTCTCTGACGCCGTCACTCCTTCTCTGCCACCTAGTATATCCATACAACATGATCCCATCCATCGAAAAACGTAATCTTATATAGCCCACAAGACAACACACACACACACGCAACACACACAACTCACTCACCCCATCCATCGCATCCCAACTTCCCAACCTTCCCCCAAATCCATTCTCTCTCACCAAAATCCAAAAAAATCATATAATCACATCATATCACCAGGCCTCATCCCACTTCACAAATCTCTCACGGTTCACCCACCCCTCCAAAATCCCACTTTTTTTCCCTTCATTTGTCTAGTGCAAGTGCAAAGTAGTCTACACCCAAGTCACTCGGAAACTGATCAAGTCAAGCTCAAGCCATCCATCAATCAAATCAATCCATCCATCACGCAAGCTCTCACCGATAAGGAAATCCAATCCAAATAAACTTCACACTAAGAATTTCCCTACATGCTCTTAATCCTGGTGCGATTTTGATTGGCCAGAGACAGTACGCTTGGTAAATAAACAAATCCAATGAATAATCCACCCCGGCTGCGGCGCCAGCCTTGTTGAAATAATTTCTTTCTTTCGGTGAGAAGGGAGAGAGAGAAGGGAGAGAGAGAAGGGAGAGAGAGCATGGAGAGAGGAGTGGGAGAGTAACTTGACGGAGTCCATTCACTCTATCTGTTAATTAAGGTTACGTTACGACCGTGAGAAAATATTTCTCTCCATATCGCAAGGTTATTCCGCGTTCTGTCTGCAATTTGCGATTTGTATCTAAGATCAAGGGTATATACATATATACATACATACATACATACATACATATATACACATACATAAATTTCCAACCTCGAGAACTTTTCTTTGCGCACACATCAGCTTCTCTGCTTCGTTTTTTGGCTTGGTTTGTATTGTTTGTTTGTTTGTTTCTATTGTTTCTTTCCTATCGCATACGAAAGTTGGACGAGGATTCAATAATACAATATACAGTTACGATTACAGTCACAATTATAACTTCTCACGCTATACATACATACATACATATACACACAGCACACCGATACAAACTTCGTCAATCCACTCTTGCATACAGGAGGTTCGAATTCGTGTATCGATATACCGACTTTCCTTCCTTTCCAATCCATCCGATACTGATACCCTTACCCATCTCATGGAATAACCCGCAAGAAAGAAAGAAATAAATGCCTTCCTTCTTCACCTTCGACCAAGGACGCGACCGCTTCCAAACCGAATCGTCTCCCCTGCTGGGTCGCTTCCGCGCAGTGCCAAATGCGTATACCACGAATGGGCGCACGCGCAGGAAGTCTCTCTTGGGCTTTTCTATCGATGGCTTCGGCGGCGCGTTTGGAGGGAGAGATGAGGGGGATGAGGGAGGAGTGGATGGATATTACTGTGATGGGGATGAGGAGGAGGAGGGGGGGTGTATGGGTGGAGAGGGAGAGTAAGGAAATGGGGAGGAGAGTTTAGGGATACGTGGATAGAGCCGAAGCAGAGGAGTGTGGCGGGGTGTGTGGAGAGGTGGTGGTGGAGGTGGGGGGTTTTGGTTGGGGCGCCGAGTGTTTTGGTGAGTGAAATGGAAGGGGTTTCTTTGGTTTTTTGGGTTTAGAGACGGGGATGCGGATGTCTCTGCGGTAGAAATAGAAGGGGGTAGATGGCTTGTGGAGTGAAGTGAGGCACATAAATGCTTGGTTTCTGAGGGGATCATGATGGGCGCAAGATTGGGTGGATGAGGCAATGCTTCTAGACCAATGTTCTAACAGTTCCTGATACCCCATCTTCTAATATTCTACCTTCGCTGTAGTGGCTTGGGTGAGTAAAGAAACACGATGATATAATGGGTGGGAATTCAATGTCAAAGCCTCTATGCCTTTTGTTATCCCGCATTCTACTATTTTGCACCCACGTCAGTGTTTCTATTGGGTTGATGATGATGGGGGCTAGCCCCAGACCCCCATAGCTCGCTGCGCTCGAGAATTTTCTTATGATATGCTAGTCGGCCTCCACGGCAGTGGCCCCCGGAGGGCCAGCGGAGCGTCATTCAATGTTATGCAGAAGAGCTTTCATGTTTTCTTTGTTTGTCTCTTGAAAATTTGCGGATGTACACATACACTAAAGAGCTTTCACTAACCGTTCGAGAACGTTAGGCTGTTGCATGGTGTGCGCTACCATTTCCACAATACGAATTTCCAGATGACGACAACACGGTCGATTCACCATTGGCCATCCTTGGACACAAGATACCAGGTCACGGAGAAGCTAGAGTTGAAATTAACTTTTGGTTCTTTCTATTCGTGTATTATGGTTTCTATAATATAACGGCATTAATGTGGATTACGAAAGTCTTCAATATTTATTCGCTGAATTGGTATATTTGAGCTTCTTGGATCTGATCGGTACATACACTAACACATACTAGGTGGCCTAAAAGTCTTGGTTTTCCCCTAACAGTCTCTATCATTGCCGCAATGTCAATAGCAGCCCCGATACCTTTTTATTGTATTCCCGAACTTCGATATATTACATCACATAATACAGCGTGGATATGCTGGACATTCTTCGCCATGGCAATGCCATTATTAGTTGCATTTGCTATCCTCCTTAATCATGAACGACATCTCGGTTTACGCAATCCTCTTTCGGAAACTCAACGTCTTTTTACTTCTTCATGGTGGACAGGTGATACCGATACCATAAATGCAAGAGATCGACCACGAAGAGCAAATATTATTCGAAGTCAAAGTACTTTTGATCCCAATGCTTCTCTAGAGGTGGCGTTAGCATCAGATGATATTTATCGATCCAGAGATGCTCAACGTATGTTGAGGAAACGTTGGCTGCCAGCAAGTTTTGTGAGATTTATGTGGTTTTGTTCGGCACTACTAATAGCTATATTGACTTACCTTTTGGGAGAAACTTATGCAGAGATATATTTGCGAACATTACCACATAGTACGGTTGAAACGCTCGTATATGTTTATAGCTGGGTTGTGACGGTTCATCTATTGGATGGATTATGCGGGTGGATTTTGGGGGGTAACGAGGGAGAAAGAGTAGGCAGTTACCCCCTTGGTTGGATTTTTAAACTGTAAGATTTCTAGTTCGTATTTTTCTTCAAAGATTACTGACATGTTCTACAAGTTACTTCGCTCTCACCTACCAAACTTACGTCCGCGCTTTATATGCTCGTCTTCGATCACCACAACAATTCATCTACCTCCAAGTAATGTCCTCTTCATTCTTGATTCTCCTCGCCCCACTCACAATCTCGGCACCCTTTCATTCGCTCCTCACACTTCTCGGTTTGAGTGGTCAATCATATACCGCATATCAGAAATTCTGCACCCGAAACATCTTCCTCCGCGGCTTGAGCGAAAACGTCTCAATGCTTACTTTCCTCGGAAGTATCTTGGTTCTGCACTACGGTGCCAATAAAGACGTGTATCCTTACTTCGCTTTCGACACTCCAATCTCTCCACCATCAAACCAAACCCTCTCTTCCATCACCTACAAATTCTTCCCTTCCATGCCTCACATCCCTCATCATCTTCCTTCTTCTGGTGCTCCTCCATTGAACGCACCCCCCAATACGATTTCCGCCTCACGTTCTACGCGTCGATAGTAACTTGGGGCTGCGAAATTGTAGCGGGCTGGGTCACGAGGAGGATTCTGTGGTGGGGATGGAAAATCAATGTGACGGCCGAGGGGAAGAGAGATTTGGCGGCCTGGCCGGAGTTGTTGCCGACGGGCGTGGTGGTTATGGTGCATGTGTTGCAGAATATGCTGTTTAGTATTGTGAGGTTGGAGTTTCATTAGGGGTGGGGGTAGGGGTGTAGGAGAATAGGGGAGAATAGGGGAGGAGAGGGGAGAAGATGTTGGATTTGATTATGAATGAATGAATGAATGAATGAATGAATGCATTTTCGTGTTATGGTGTTTGAGCAGGGTGTTGGTTGGTTGGATTGTTTACCTTGTTTTGTTGTTTATTTTTGCTTCTTTAATTTACATACCCTCCTCGAATTGCATTGCGTTGTATTGCATTGCATTGCGTTGCGTCGTGTCTCTTTTTTGAAAAGAAAATTCTCGTTTTTTGTTTCTCGGTTCTCGCTTCGAGATACTACTTACTTACTTACTTACTTAGATTAGATCAGATTAGTTTAGATTAATACACGATGACGAAATGAATGATGGAATGATGGAATCACGCGTGGGAACCAAAGATTGGGAATTAGAGAAGTTGTTTTGAAGAAGTCGTTTTGAAGAAGAGGCAGAGGAAGGAGTGGAGGGAAGAAGAACAGGAGAGGAGCGGAGAATCGAATCGGAGAAGAATTATGGAAATAGAAATAGAAATAGAAATACGCGTGGGCGTGGGCGTGGGCGTGGCAATGCAGGAAAGGAAGGAAGGAAGGGAAGGAAGGGAAGAAAAGAAAAGAGAAGCTGGATGAAATCGTTGATTGGGTATTTGAGTGATTGGGTATTTGAGTAATTGGTTGACGAGTTGGGCAGATGGAGGAATGGAAGAATGAGTAATTAAATAAACAATTAAATAAACAAATGCCATTACAATGACATTTACAATTGCAATTATCTATATGTTCCCCGAGTTCTACTTTGTTATACCTATCTATATACCATTATACCTCTCTCTATATATCTATATACCTAAAAACAATAAGAATCACATTCAAATCAGAGAATTTTACAAGACACATATACACAATATCATAAAATCGTAACCGAAAAATCCTATACCACTTCGCTTATTTTGGTAATGTTGCGTATGTTAGGTAGGTGGGTATCTCATGTTAAATGTCAAACTCATCATTTCAGGGGAGGAGAGTGTAACGCTTGTCTCTTGATGCATGTACATGTTATGTTTTTAATTTGCTACTTCGGAATCACATATATACATACATACATACATACATACATCAGTCCTTATAATTTCTGATCTCTCATCTGTCATCTATAATCCTAAATTTAAGCTCTTCTCTCATCTCTCATCTCTCATCTCCCCCAACCTCAACCTACTCCTCAAATCATCTAATCAAACTCCCTCTTCTCTCCCAACTTCCCCCATCCTTCCAATACATCTCTATCAACATTACTCGCAAATTCCCTCTCGAAAACTTCTTCTCCCCCACAAACCCTCACCACCTCCCCCAACCTCACCTTTACAAATTCCCACGCATTAACTCTATGAACCGGATCCACCATGTTCCATTCCCTCTTCCTCTTATCTTCCTGAGTCTCACCCTCAAATACTTGTTGTTCTCCCCATATCAAATTATCTCCTCCAATATCATCTCTTCCCGCCATCATCTCACTAATAACACTCGTCCACATCGCAAAGAAATCTTGAAGTTTCGAAAGAATGATTTGCGTCATTGGACTTGGCAATTCCAAAAGACGCGTCAGAGCCAAACAACTCAATTTTTGTCTATCGATATTGGCCATACTGTCGAAATGACGGAACCATTCCTCACTTAACCATTTCCAAATATTTTCAAGATTATTGTCGATGCTCATGAGGAGATTAGCGAAGACCGTCGGATCTGCTAGTGCAATGCGAGCCAGAATGGTAAAGTAATCTGTCTCAACTACGTCATCTAATTTAGGATATTTACGCTCGGGACCAGTAGTTTGATGAGCTTCCCAAGCATCGCGAAGTCCCGAGAAGATCTTTTCCGTATACCCAGATTCGTGGAGATCTTTTGTGATTTGTGTAACACCATTCGAACCTCCTAACTTTTCAGCAGCACGAATTAAATCCTCGACGGTTGTTGTAACAAGGCCGGCGAGATCGCGTTTGGTGACTCCCAACAAACTGGTCATGTACGAGACAATCCGAAGTCGATTCGCATCGCCCAGCATAGCTTCTGGCGCTAATAGAATATATTCATTCACGATACCAAGAATGACTCGAAGATTATCAGAACCCAGTTCGAGTAGAGGAAATGCGCAATCGATGAGGGCTAGAACCTCGGGAGATGCAGGTGATGATGACTGAGCGAGAATTTGTGCCCACAAGTCAAGAGCTTCTTCCATAAGGTAGACTTGCATTTCTGAACCCGGTTCCACAGCGCGTTGAATTAGAGGTAAGATTAGCGAGTGGTATCGTTCCGATTGACCTTGCATACAAGATACAAGAGTAGACATGATTGTTAATATGGCCTGTTTGAGAAGATGTTCTTCGCCAGAAGCTTCCCAAAGACCTGGTAAAATAGAAACAATTTGATCTGCATATGGAGAGATATGAGTTTCTAACCTGATAGCAATCATTCTAATTGTTTCCAATATTACCAATTTTGTTTCCGTATTCTCAACCTCTTGAATTAAAGCCATAGTGCGACCAAGAATATCAGGAGCATATGGTAGAAAGGGTTCAACGTGAAATTCGAAATCATCGACAATCGCCTTAAATTGACGAGCTGCAGTAATGCGAACGACATGATCATTGGTTTCATCTTCTGATTTAAGTAGATGTTGAAAGATTTGATATACCAATGGTCTATTAGCTTGTGATATTCTGACAGGAATCCATTGACCAAGTAGAATGGCAATTCGTCGACGAAGTACCTTCCAGCTTTGACCGGTTTGTTGAACATCATTAACTAAAGTTGAAGTAAGGAAGGTATCGAAGTCAAAGCTTTGATGTATAACAGCAGCAGATAATCCCATGGCAGTATACACAGCATCCTTGGTGACAACAGATTGCCCATTACTACCTGTAACCGATTGGAAGTATTGTAACAGTGGTGCCACTAGAAGATCTTTGAAGTTGATGACGAGGTCCATGAATAGCTTTTCCGCACAAGGTCGAACTTCAAATTCCCAAGTATCTCCACCACCTTCTTCACGTATCTCCCATTCATCCTCATCTTCTTCCCAAGCTTCTAAATCAACTTGACGAAAGACGAAGAATTTAGTAACGATAACACTTGCCATTTCGGCTATTAGCTGTTCAGAAAGCAATTGCGATTTGAGGAATGCTACAGCTTGTCGCTGTTCTTCTTTGACCTCGGGAGTTCGATATTTGAAGGATTGTGTTGGACTAAATACCATCTTCATACAAGCGCGCAAGAGGGTCAGACCTTTTAGACATAATTTTTCCATGATCGGTCTATCTTGTTTTGATCCATCATCAGTTGCCAAAGCTTTGGCACTGAAATCCTGTGTTGCTGATCCATAAGAATCTCCAAATTTAGAAACAAATCCCCAATATCCTCTTACCAAATCTATAGAATTGGGCAAGAGTGCGAACGCAGCAGGATGTGTATTTGACATTTGGACATGTAGTTTTGCAAATTGTACGAGGTGCTTCTCAGCTAGTTCCTTAGCAGGTGATGCCAAAACTGTAGATTCTTCATTTACTATTGTGAGGAGCTGACCAAACTGTTGTTGCGATTGTTGCCATATTTGTTGAACATCTTTATCATGATTTGGAAATTCATAACCCACAATAAGAAGTCGTCGAAGGATCTTGATCGCAATCAGACTGTTTTCCATAGCATTTATAGCACCCCCTTGATCACCCGAAGAGTTCTCAGTTAAGAAACCAAGCCATTGTGAAACCTTTTGTGTATAAATGCCGCTCAGCAAGAATACCATCTCTGGCGTGACTGATTGTAAGCTCGTTTGAGATCTCCTCAATCGGGCGGTAGCCAACTCTTTCACAATCTGTAGTAATATCAACATTCCTCTTTGTAGATGAAGTTGGTTTGTTTCGTTTGCAGTTCGCAGCATACTAATCAAATTCGTAAGAACATCCGGCCAGTCCATAGGATAATCCACTCGGACTACTTTCGAAATCACCAAGGCATTTTGTAAAGCAAGTTGAGGATCGGACTCTTCAAATCCACTCTCTAGCAGATGTGATCGAATGTTCTCTTTCTCTTCCGCAGTAATAGCATTTGGGGCTGTCTTTCGCCAATATTTATCGATACCATTTTTCAATTGTATGACCGCTAGATATCTTACTTCGGAGGGTAGGGACTTATCGAGATATACTGCCTAAGCAAAAGTGTTAGTTGGGGTGCCCAAGTCCCGACATTCATGGAGAAAATACCTGCAGTAAAGTGTAGTATCCTCTCTGTGTCTTCCAAGCTTCTAGTTGTTGTGTCCCAGTTTGGATAGCTAGCTGTTGAGAGGACCCTGCCGACTGCAAGGCTAGATATACCTGTTGAGGATTTAGAGGAGCTGCCTCTCCAGGAACTTCGATCGCAAACGCCATATTGAATGAAAGGATTTAAACTTTCACAAGATGTCAAAGAATGCAATGATCTTCAAGAGACGAAAGAAAGTTGTGGTGTATTATTGAAACTGCGCCCCACCACGAGCTGTTTTTCTTGAGGGTCTCTATCACACACACCGTAAGGTTAACTTTTTGTTCGAGCTTCTTTTTTTGAGTGAACAGTTCACTTCAGCCTCGTCAGTGTCAATGCTCCACCAGGATTCACCAAACATGAGATGTTATTATTCTCAACGTGAAGCAATGATTGTACGAAATTGATATTCAAGTTTCATCTTGACTTATTGTCAATCGTCTCATGTGTTTGTATCAAAATCATCCAAGATGTGCTCCGTTTTTGGAGGTTCGGATTTGGCACCCACATCATCCTA